ACCAAAAAGAATATGTCTCTGTGTCTCTGGTAATAGTCTTTGTCTTGAAGTGTTATTTTTCTGATATTAATGTGGCTGAGTCCAACATTCTTATGCTTATTGTTTTCATGATATATTTTCCCCTGCTCTTTTTCTTATGTATCTTCAATTTTTAAAGTTTACCTTTAAATAATAAATTACTACTTAAAGAAAAATATAAGAACGGTACAATATCATAATTCAATTGACACTCCCTCCTATACTTTGTGCCCTGTTGGCATATAGTTTACTTCTTCATATATTATAAACCCAAAATACATTATTACAGTATTTACTTTGGTCAATAATCTTTTAAAGCTACATATAACTGTACATATATATGTACAACATATGGGGTACATATAAAATAAAGATAATAGAAAACATTTTTATATGTTTACTCCTATATGAGGACTTCCATCTAATATAATTTCACATTAACCTGAAGAACTAGAATTTCTGTTGGAGATGTTCTGGAAATGAATTTACTTAGCTTTTGTCTGAAAATAGCTTTGTTTTGCCTCAAATATTTAAGATTCTTTTTTTCTGTCTTTCTAGGTACAGAATTTAAGTTGATACTAAGTTTTTATATTCTTAGAACCATTCAAAAAACCATTCAATTTTCTATGCCATTTATTGTTTCTGATATAAAAATCACAAGTGATCTTATTTAGCATTGTTCCCATATAGATATATGTGGATAAAGTGAAAGTTCCTATGGCCAGGATTCTCACCTGGCCCTGGTCGGCTTGCTACTACACATGTGTGGGCAATATGTTGCTATTGACTCTATGTAAAGAGCTCAGCCAAGTGCTCTGGGCGACATGGTGGTATGGCCGCATGGCTGCAGGAAGCAGAGACTGGCATGGTGGCAGCGCTAAGGACAGAGACTGAGACGGCTATGGGGGTGGAGAGGCCCAGAAGCAGAGACCAGCCTGCTGCATGCAGACTACCTCCGAGTGGACAGGATTCTAGTGATTGACCTGCCACTGTAGGAATAAAGTTGGGTATAACCCCTTTCACCCCAAGAATGTTCCATTGTCATTTTTCCATCTCACTAAATCCATAGTGAACTTGCCCTGGGCTGAAACCCACTGGCAAGACAATATATAATGTGTATCTTTTCCCTATTACTGGTTTTAAGGTTTTTTTTGCTATAATTCCCTAGGTTTGGATTCCCTGAGCTTCTCGAATAAATATATGGATTGAATATCTTTAGTCAGATTGAGAGATTCTTCAGTTTTTACCTCTTCAAATATTTCTTCTGCCCCCTTCTTTTATACCCTCCTTGGACTCCAAGTACATGTATGCTAGACCATTTGATATTGTCCTGCAGATATCAGACACTATCTTACGTCTGTCCCTTTCTTGCTCTTTATATTTGCTCAGAATTTCTACTGACCTGTCTCAAGTTTATGGATTCCTTCCTTGCTGTGTCCCATTTGCTGATAATCTTATCAAGTGGACTTTTTATGTCTTATACTTTATTTCTAGCATTTCCATTTGTTTTTTTTAACAGTTCTAATGTCCATTTTTTTCTACAGTTCCTATAACATACTTAGCATTATTTTAAAGTCTTTTTCCAGTAACTTCAACATCTTGGCCATTTCTGTGTTTGCCTCTATTAACTGTTTCCTCTTTGGCCATGGCTCACATTTTCTTGAACCTTCACACCTCATATTTTTATTGTATGCTAGATATTGCATAGAAGAGAACAGGAAATAATATTTACCCTTAAAAATATCTTGCTACTTTTTTTAAATCAGGCTTCTTGTTTGGAAAGGTGAGTCTACTGAATCTTTAGATTTACTGAGCCTGGGCTTTGCTGAAAGCTTTAATGAGTTTCAGTAGACCATTTCCTTCAAATGTGCTTGGGTTCTTAGCACTGGCAAAACTCTTAGCACTGAAGATCCTCTGGTACCTGCTAGCCCATCTACTAAACTATCTGCTACTCTTTTAGCTCAAAATCCCAGCTTCCAGCATGTCCAGAGGATATTCTCTTTACTTCCCAGCACTACCTGTCTTTCTGTGTCTCAGTAGAACTCTCTCCATCCTGCTGCCTTGTACCCAGCCTTTTGGGCTGCTGCAGAGAGCTTAATGAAGGCCTAGAATCCTCAAAGCAATTGCACTGAGCAATTCTGCCTCACTCCCTGACTTTCACATACTACTTTTGAGCACTTAAGGCCTTTGGAAAAGAGTTAGAGGATGGATGCTGACTCCCTCTATGACTGGAGCTCCATGACATTGTAGTCAATCATTCCAGCCCACATACAGTCATTAAACAGCTGGTCTCTCTTGACCCCTGTTTATAGTACATTCATGTAATAAAAAGCTACCTGACGAATCATAAACTGTTGTATAAGAAATGGAAACAGCTGTGATTCTCTTTTCTCTTGGGAAGTTCTCATTACTTTTTGGATTTAAGGTCATTTGTGTTGTCAGCTCTAAGTTTTTTTTAACTGTCTAAAATCTCTGGGTTATACTTGTTAGCATTATTTTAAAGTCTTTTTCCAGTAACTTCAACATCTTGGCCATTCTGAAGAATCATAATTCTTTATGATTAATTTGCATTCTCAGTTTTCAGCCTAAGTTCATTTTCTATTTTATTCTCATTTGTAGACTTTGCTCCAATCATAGAGGTTTATGCTTTTAGTATTTTATAACTTGTAGGGAAAATGGAAGTTCCTAGGGCCAGGATCCTCACCTGACCCTAATCTACTTAAGGATGTAATTGGCCTACTGCCTAGGCTATTTACACAGCCATTGGCACTGAGCTGTGTTGCTATAAAATGAGATCCATCCTGAGCCTAGGGCAGGGCAAAGCAGAGGCTGTAGATAAAGGCAGAACCTGGAGCAAAGGCAGAGCCCAAAGCAGAAGCAGAGCCTGGAGCAGAGCACAGAAGAGCCTAGAGAGGAGAGCAGAGGCCAGAAGAGACAGAACCTGGAGTGGAAGCAGACCAGGGGCTGTGAGGTAGCAGAGAGGCCCAGAGGCAGATTCCATACTTGATGGATGCAAACTGCCCTGGAGGTGGATGGGATTCTAGTGCTTGACCTGCCACCACAAGAATAAAAGCTTGGTGCTAAGACCTTTTACCCCAAAACGTTCCATTGTCATTTTTTGGTCTCATCTAGTCCATATTGAACTAGCCGAGGACTGAAACCCTCAGGAAAGACATAACTTTATACATCCTGATTGGATTCAGTATTTTTCATATTTTATAACACTCTGAGAACACCTTCTCAAGGGTTTCTGGACCTAGTTCCCTTTTCAACAGTCGTATTGATCACTTACTAAAAGACTGAAAATATTTCGTCCTTTTCTCCATTAACTACTTAACTTTAGTCATGGTTCTCCCTTGCATTCATGGAGTAAAAAGCTACTTGATCCCCATTTGACTTTTACATCTGTCTTGTTTCATATTCTCCAAGTCTCTCACTCTAGTCATGTTTTCCTTCTTTACCTGAATAGTGGGATCTCCCTGAACTTTATGAACAATTTTAACCTTAGGCAAGAAATACAGAAATAAAAGTTACCACAAGGCCCTTGGTTTATTATTGAACTCCACTCTTAACTTAGTACCTACCACACATGTCTTGCTGATTTTGTTTGGTGAAAATATTTCACCAAACATACCATAAGGATGGCAAATAAGCACTTTAAAAGATTTGAAGATCAGTAACTATTAGGAAATTACAAATTAAAGCCATAAGAAACCACTACTCACTTGCATTATGTTGGCTTTCTATTCAGGGTTTTTCACACTGTTTGAAGAATAGGGTCTTCCTGAAACCTTTTATTTTTTTAAGACTAACCATCCTGTGTAACCCTGGAATCTGAAAGTACTACTTCTCAACTATTTCTTTTGTACTTGACTAATTGCCTAGTGAAACACAAAAAACTTGCCTACCAATCATTCTCTGACTTCATCTACAGTTACGGTCTCTGAAGAAAAAAAAATCTGTCATTTCCTCTTCCTTCAGTTACTAGAACTTCAACTTGAATAGTGCCATTGTCTTCCAAGTCATTTACTGGATATGTTGTTTCATCTGATTCTGCAGTTCTGATTATTTAATACATAATGTTAAAATACGAATACAGGAAATACTAATTAAGACACTAATGCTAAGAGAATATATTATTTGAAGAGCAAATAAACTTCATTTTGTAAAACATGTGGGGATGTATTTTTAGTAGTGGGCTTCATCTATTCCTTGACTTGCAGTGGCTAGTACTAATCTAATGATCAGCTTGGTCTATCAGTCATCTCACTGATTCCACTCCACTCATTCATCAGGGAATAAAACATATAAAACAAATGATGAAATTTCTAATTATATAGCCCTACTCCTCAGCTACATCACTGACTTGTTCAAGCTTAAAAAATCATTTCTCCAAATTCCATATTTAACTCCTTCCACAATCTCTGAGGAAATATTCATTGAGAACCAAATCCTCCTGATTCTATTTCCCAATTATTCCTATCTATTTACCTGATCCCTGGCATCCTTACTTTTGTCCTGGATTCTTCCTCACACTTCTTACCTGGTCTCCCACCTTCCAATATCTCCCCCATCCATTCCCCATTCATTTTCACAATTCCCAAATGACCTTTTTAAAATGCATATATGACGATAATGATTAGTATTAAGTCATAACTCCTTAATTTAATGCATGGATTGCTTCATGATTAATTTGCACTCTGTTTTCAGCCTAAGTTTATTTTCTATTTTACTCTCATTTGTAGACTTTCTCCAATCATAGAGGTTTATGCTTAAATATACCATACTCTTTCACAGTATGAGGCCTGCTCACATTCTTTTCTTGCCTGCAACTCCATTTCCAGCTTTACTCAGCTAGCTCCTCCTCCAAAAATGAATCATTGATCCCTAAGTCTGAAACAAATGCCATTTGTTTTCTCTATGTCTCTTACGCAAATCCTTAAAATAGCACTTGTCACAGTATGTTTTAATTGCTTACTTACTTTAACTCTCTTCCCCACTAGGCTTTAAGTAGTGTTGATCAATTTGATTCCATCAAAATTGACAATTTCTGCCTTTCAGACTGGGAGAAAATTTTTGTACATCACATGTCTGATCCAGGATCCATCCTCATATCTAGAATATATGTAAAAAAACACTAACTCAGTAAAAATAAAAATAAAAAAATGAGTAAAACTCTAAAAAAATATTTCACCAAAGATACCATAAGGATGGCAAATAAGCACTTTAAAAGATTTGAAGATCAGTAACTATTAGGAAATTACAAATTAAAGCCATAAGAAACCACTACTCATTTATTAGAATAGCTACAATTTAAAAAGAATAGCAATATGAAGTGGTGGCAAAGGTGTGGATCAGCAGAAACTCTTAAGCAATACTAGGAAGGTAAAATGATACAATTACTTTGAAAAACAGTTCTACAGCTTCTTAAAACTTTGAACATACACCTACCATAGCCATTCTACTCCTAATTATATATTGCAAAGAATGCAAGCAACATGTATTGGAAAGACTTGTACATGAATGTTCATAGCAGCTTTGCTTGTAACAGAAAGTTGAAATTTTAATCCAAATATCCATCAATAGGTAACCAAAGTATGGTATATGCTTATAAGGGAATGGATATTCCTCAGCAATAAAAAGGAAGGATTATTTATTAGTAGTTGCAACAAATTAGATGAATGTCAAAATAAGTAGACTGAATAAAAAAGCCATACAAAGAAGAGAACACAGTTTGATATCATGTAAAATTCTAGAAGATGCAAGCTAATTTATAAGGACAGAAATTATACCAGTGAAGGAGTAACAAGAGTGGGATTACAAAAGACACAAGGAAACTTCTGTAGGTATGAATATGTTCATTATTTTGATTATAGTTATGGTTTTACAAGTATATCTATATGTTCAAACTTCTCTAATTGCACACTTTAAACATATATAGTTAATGATATGCCAATTATACACCAGTAAAATTTTAAAGAAATAAAAAATCTATACATTCCTGACCTTCTCCAGGGAATTTTCATCAATCCTTTAGTCTCAGCTAGACACCATTCTTCTATGCATACTTTTATCATTTATATACCTTATCATATTTCATTGCTTTTCTTAATTTACCTGTCTACCTCACAAGATATTAAACAATATGAAGGAAGATAAGTTATTTTTGAGATTTATTTCTCAGAGATAAAGATGCCTTCTCAGAAAATACACATTGCTTCTGTTCAAAGTAGAAAACTGACTTGAGTGGACATGTCCAGTACTGGTCGCCCAAAGCCCACTTCTATGTACTAATATTTGCTGTTTGTTTGAGGCCATACTTAGTAATTACTACAGTTTGAAATTTGAAGTCTGATCTGGGAGATCAGAACTGAACATCTTTTGAAAAGTTGGAATCAGAATGCCCAATATTATATATACTCTGACTCATCTCTTATAGGTATACCAGCTTCTACTTGACTCTTCTGCCTTAAATCTAAAACTAACCTGGTCACTCTATGCATTAATGTGGTTCATGAATATTCTCAAGAAACTCTGTTAGGGATCCCATGTTGGGAAATATAATAAATAATAACGCTAATATGTAAGACAATATCCAACCATCATAATTCAGAGTCATAGTGGGAAGGAGTTTTAGAAAACAGTGTTTAAGAAAATAAGTGTATAAAAATTAAGGACAGTTTGTGGTTAACACAAAAAAAATCTCAACAGACATTTAAGATGAGATATAAATGGTATTCTTTCCTCCCTTACACTAAAACTTTTTATTCATTAATTTTTTTCCATTAAACTATTGCTGATATACAATCTTATATTAGTTTCAAATATACAATACAGTGATTCAAAAGTTACCCATATTACTAAATCCTCACCCCCACTGGTGCAGTTACTATCTGTCAGCATTGGAAGATTACACTAAAACTCTTTAGCTGTATGTAATAAAAAATTCCCAGGAGCTCTATTGTGTTTTGTGGTTTTATATGAATCTGTGTTGTCTAAAAGAATACATACTAGCCACATATGGCTACTGAACACTTGAAATGTGGCTACTCTGAAATGAATTGTGAAAATTTTTGACTTCATATGGAAAACAATGTAAAATAGCTCAGTAATTTTTTATCTTGATTATATGATGAAATAATGTCTTGGACATACTGGGTTATTAAAACTAATTTTACCAATATTTTTTCTGACTTGCCTACTAGAAAGTTAAGAATTACAGGATAGAATTGAAGGTGGAATAGGAAGGCAAGACCAAAACCTCCTCCCAAAAACACATAAAAGAGGAAAATACAGTATATGCAGCTAGACCTGAAAATGACCCAAAGACTGCAGAACAGACCCCCTACACCTGAGGAAGAAGAGAGGGCCACACAGAAAAGGGTGAGGTGGCAAAGCCAAGATGGAGCAGGACCCAAACCCTCCCCCAACCCCAGCCTACAGGCTGGAAAAATAAAAAATGAGCTGGGAGGGCATAGGAGCCCACTGCACACCTGGTCCTGGAGATCTGCTCCAGGAGCACAAGGCCACATTACACTGGGTTCTGATGATTAGTGGGGCTGGACACCAGGGACAGGAGAAACACTCTCGAAGGCTGAGACTCCAGCCAGTGTGGAGGGCAGGCACACTCCACCAGTCCTGAGACCCAAAGCAGAGCGGCAGTTTGAAAGACTTGCCAGCAGTGGGAGGGGCACCACGGGGGTAAGGGTTGGATGGAAGTCTCTCTTTAGGAGAAGGGGCAGGTGGAGGATACCTCCTGAGTCCTTCCTTGGCCCAACAGATAGGGAACTCTCAGGAGCTCAAGACCCTCCACCCCCCTGCTAGCAATGCAGCCTTAAGGCTCTTCCCTGTGTGTGCTGCTGGGAACCAACACACTCAGTTCAGCAGCATCAGACTTTGCTGCCTGGCAGGCAGAGGGAGACTCTCCCAGCTTCCTTGGCTCCATTTCAGCCCAAATGGGGAGGTGCCTGCAGGATCCAGCCCCAAGAGCTCATTTTTCCCTGTGAGTGTCCAATCCTGGTGCTGTGGGTCCAGCCGGGGCAGAGCTGCACATTGGTCCACCTACCTCATTAACTCTGCAGCCCCACCCATAGTGAGCTCAACAGATTCTTGAACTGATCACAAAGACAGCAGTTCAAGCAAACTGCAGGCATAGATTGAGATGACTACAGATGCCAAACAGACAGGTGGCCCCACCCTCAGCATGCCCACAGCTGGAGCCTCTGTAAAACAGAAACAAGAATTAGAGACTAAAAATTCTTGAGCTTCTGGGCACCATGGCATGCCTTCTTCATAAAGCTATTACTCTATAGGCCAGGAAGCATAGCAGAACCATCTAATACAAAGGAAGAAACACTGAAACCCTGATAAAATGAGGAGGCAGAAGAATATGATCCAAACAAAACTACAAGACAGAACCCCAGAAAGAGGGCTAAATGCAATAGAGATCACCAATCTTCTTGATAAAGACTTCAAAATGAAAGTCAGAAACATACTCACAGATTTACAGAAAAGTATTCAAGATCTCAAGGAAAACTTCAACAGAGCTAGAAAACCTGAAAAAAAGCCACTCAGAACTGAATATAGTATCTGAAATGAAACATACAATGGAGGGATTTAAAAGTAGATTAGACCATGTAGAGAAGGTAAATGAATTAGAAATTAGAGAACAGGAAAACAAAGAAGCTGAGGAACAGAGAGAAAAAAGGATCTCTAGGAGTGAAAGACTGCTAAGAGAGCTCTGTGATCAATCCAAACAAAAAATATTTGCATAATAGGGGTACCAAAAGGAGAAGTGAAGAAAAAGGGATAGAAGGTCTTATTAAGGAAATAATTATTGAAAATTTCTCCAGTCAGATCATGGGAGTGCAGAGATCCCCTAACAAAAGGAACCCAAGGAAGACAACATCAATATATCTAATAATTAAAATGGCAAAGATCAAGGATAAGGAGAGAGTGCTGAAAGCAGCCAGGGAGAGAAAAAAGACTACTTATAAAGGACATCCCATCAGGCTCTCAGCAGACTTCTCAAAAGAATCTCTAAAGGCCAGAAGGCAATGGCATGATATATTTAATGTAGTGAAACAGAAGGACCTCCAACCAAGAATCCCCCACCCAGCAAGACTGGCATTTAAATTTGAAGCAGGTATAAACAATTTCCAGATAAACAAAAGTTGAAGGAATTCATCACCACTAAACCAGCCTTACAGGATGTAAAGGGACTGCGGTAGATGGAGATGACCTGAGGCTAAATAGCTTTCACCAGTGAAAATAAACCCACAGTAAAGGTAATAAACCAACTAAGTACCAAGCAAGTACAAAATTAAAACAAAACAAAAGAAGCAAAATCAACTATACACAAAATCATTCTAAGGATGCACAAAAAGTGCAGATTATGACATCTCATATGAAAAATGGGGAGGAAGAAGAAGGAGAAAAAAGTTCCTTTAGACTGTGTCTGAAACAGAGTAATCAGCAATTTAAGATATACTATTATATAGTAAGGAAGCTATCTTGAACCTTATAACCAAAAAACTAAAGCCCACAATAAATACAAAAAGAAAAAAGAAAAAAAAAAGAGAGTAATCCAATTACAACACTAAAGAAAACCATAAATAACAAGAGTATAAGAGAGGAAGAAAGGAACAGAGAGGAGCTATAAAAAGCAGCCAGAAAAACAATTAATAAAATGGCAGTAAGTTCATATCTATCAATAATCACCTTAACTGTAAATGGACTGAATGCACCAAACAAAAGATATAAGAGTTACAGAATGGATAAAAAAACAAGACCCATCTCTATACTGCCTACAAGAGACTTATTTCAGACTCAAAGACATACACAGACTAAAAGTGAAGGGATAGAAAAAGATATTCCATGCAAATAATAGGGAGAAAAAAAAGGATTAGCAGTACTTATATCAGACAAAATTGATTTCAAAACAAATAAAGCAACAAGAGACAAGGAAGAACATTACCTAACGATAAAGGGGTCAGTTCAGTAACAGGATATAACCATTATAAATATCTATGCACCCAACATAGAAGCATCTAAATATGTAAAAGAAATACTAACAGAATTAAAGGGGGAAATATGTTGCAATACATTCATTTTAG